AACTAGACTTGCGAGGTGTAGCTCCTTGAGAATGTCTGTATATTTAATCTAAGTTACTGCTTTTAAAAAGCCCAGAAAGGTTAATTAACCACCCTTAAATTTCCCACCTTCTCAATCTTGATTTAAATACAAAGCATCACAGTTTGATATATCAAACCGATTTGACCATCACATCAGAAATTTGTTGTCTAACAAGAATAAGAAGCATTCCCCAGTACCAGAGAAAGTATACAAGGTGACCACACCACACTCTCATGCACACACATTGCACCCACCATATACATGCAGACTATAGATATACATGCATTTCACCCTCACATCTACACAGCCACACACAACTTGCCTCTGCCCAACTGCATCTCTCCCTCATCCAAACACATTGCATATAAATCTATCCTATGTAACAGAAACCACACATATACACCTTCCACTCCACCCTCTCTCTCACACACACACAAAAAGACCACACATACATGCAGTGAAGGATATGCCTGGCACCAGTCCCATGGCTGGCAGTAACAATAAACAGACCTCTTCACTCATCCCTTTCCCTTCCTGTGCAACTTTTTTTAAAGCCCCTCAGAGAGAAAGGAAGTGCCCACTCCTAGCTCAAAATGGTTGCAGAAACTTCAAGCAAATTGAAGAAATGTGGTTCTTCCCCCACCTGGCACTTGTTTTAAAGGAGTCCCTCCAACGGGAAAAGGAAGTGCCAGCCACCAGTGAAATGAGGCTGGCCAGCAACAGCACACTAACTTGAGTGAACAGGACTATTCCTGATGTACCCTCCTTTTCCCCCCACACACCAATTTTTGTTTAGTTAGGTTTTTTTGCCTCTGCATGGAACAAAAGAAGTGCCCACCAACATGTGGCTGGCAGGCAAGGTCACTCACTCCTCTTCCCCCACCAGATTTTTTTAAACAGGCCTTCCATGTAAGGAAGCATCCACTGTCAGCTCCATGTGGTTGGTGGGCGGCAACAGCCCAGTGAATGTCTGGATCAATGCTTCAGATTGCCTCGTGGACTGCAAGGGCGGCCTTCTTGGCACTATGGTACCCACAAGTGCTGAGCTGAAAGCCCCTGAAATACAGTTATTTTATAAAGGGATTGCAAACCAATGGGAAACATTTCCTGCCTAAGCTGCATCAAATCTAACAGCAGTTCTGGGGCATCTGCACTTACTTTAAACTAGACTTGCCTAGGTACCATTCCTCATATGAACAAAACAGGCAGAAATGAGAGCCAATAAAAGAAAAATCCTGCATCTGTAAGAACTTGAATATGTTGGTATTACACAATACGTAAACTACATATATTCAGCCAGTCACATAAAGACAAAATGCAGATGCAAATATTGAGCATGTCAAAGCAGTTTCTTTTTCAGGACAGGGATCAACAAATCAGGAGTTGTTTATCGTAAGCCAGGAATAAACCATTGGCTACCACTTGTAGCCCACCCATTGGAATTAATGAAGTAAAATGCTTAGGGGAATGACTATATGAGCAGCTCCCACAGGGATTTTTATATATAGTTAATAGAGGAATAACTGATTCATGTTGCAGCTGTATGTACACTGAAGGAGACGAAAGTATGAATCATGCTAATGAGGTATACAATGGAAAGAAAAGGTCACAATGGTTCCTACTATATGCATCTGTATTCACACTATGAGGGCAGGGGGAGAATTATGTCATCTGGACAATTTCTGACATTTAACATTTGGAGCTCAGAGAAACTGTCGATGCAGTGCCCAGGTATCAGCTCTATATTAAGTCCATGTACAATTCCTCCCAAATGAACCTCTGAGCACACAGATACAAAAGGAAGAGAAGGGGTTCGATCTTATGAAGACATCGGTACATGGTTTCACTACACACACACACAGTCACACGTGTCACACACAGCTCTCAATCACAACAGCCAACCATTCTGCCCAGATGATGCATTCTCACTCAGCAGGCTGAAATGGATTCTTGTAACAATCTCTAAAGAGGAAAAGCTTCAATCTGAAATCATGCCAGAGGCAATATAGACCCATGAATTGTTTCCTAGTATACCTGTGTGTGGGATTAATGAAAACCTTAATTAAGATCACTGTCTATAGCTGTGAACCCAGACACCTCCATCACATACATACTCCTCTCTGTAAGCTACAGCACACACTTTTGATGGGATGCACACCTCACGGGGGCGGGGGGGGGCACACCTAACAAATCCCCTAACTGAGGAGGAGGAACAGATAGGGCAGATAGGGCACAGCAGTCGAAGGGTGAACTCACCTGAACCCAGTGCTGCCTCCTAAATCTACTAGAATTTGAACCATGATCTCCTTGATACAACTATCTTGAATGCTAATCTATCTTTACATCAAGTTGGGATTACTTCCTTTGGCCTCACTCTTGCCATTTTCTAGCTGCGAGTTTGCCTAACTAGACCAACTGCATTAAGAACTAACCCCAGCGCACTTTTAGAAGTGAACCACAATGTCATGCAACATGCAATAAAGGCTTATGGTAAACTTTGTGGCAGCTTTTGTAATTAGAATCTAGAATCAAGATCCAACTATCATAAAATTACCCCATTACAGAAGACAGGGGTTTCTCTCATTACAAGCATATGGTACAACTTTAAATTTTTACCAACTGTACAAAGATTTTCTTGGACTAGTTGCCCAATTATTACCACATATAAAAGTACTTGAGCTCCTTCAGTACAAAAACTTCCTCCAATGTCCAATGCTCATTACCTTCAAATAACTGCATGGGGGGTTCTTGAAGAAAAGAAAAGCAATGCCATTGGTCTGTTTTGCTTCCCTTTCCTCTCAGTTGTGAGGGGGAAGAGCAGGGAAAAATAGTCCCATGTGAAACCTATCCCTATGCTCATTTACTCAAAAGTATGCCTCAAGACTTATGAGACTTGCTTCCAAGTGCCTAGTCTGCAACTATAAACATACAATGCCTCATTTAGAAGCTAATGTGAGAACCAGATCCCATTATAGACAAAAATACTAATTCCTTAGAGCTAAACTCAACAGCCACTTGCTCTACTGCCATTATAATCTGTTGAACTGCTACCATTCATTTCTTAAAACTGTTCCAAGAGCATTCCTTATCTGCCAAACAAGTATATATTTACAATCTGTTTCCACACTTCTTTAAATTAGCATTATTCATTTGCATAACACTTTGGTTATTGTAAGATACAGTGTGGAGACTATCCATCTGGAAAAGCAGAATACTTAGTATGTTATCAGAAACCAATGACTTTAGAAGCACTAGAAAAATGATATGGGGAAGCAAATTCACAACCATGACTCTATAGAATTTTGTATTATAGACAATTTTAAAAATTGAAAATGCATTAACACAAAGAAAGAAATTAAAGCCCCTCACAAGTGAGGGAGGGGGAGTACTCAGTAATATGTTAGGTTTGCAAGCTGCAGAATCTGATGCCATGTGCATTTCAGTACTTTTATTCAATAAAGAACAAAGTGAGATTACATATTTTACAACTATGGAGTATACCATTCAGAACTCTACAGTGATAGCCTTCCAGTTTAATGGCAAGAATTACTATGTTAAGGGGCTTCTTAATGTTCAAGAACACAAATTTTGCTAAAAGTAGTCTGAACTACATCTCGCTTATTGGTATACTTGAAGGAAATTAATGAAAATTCAATCACATTCTAAAAAGCTGCTACTAATATGGTTCTCTCTCTAAAGAGAACTTTTAAAAACTTTAATGTCAACAAAGCAGCTTTATTGGTTCATATTTTTGTGATTAGGTAAAAGAAGCTTTTACCATTCTAATAAAACATATACTTCACCCTTGTACCTCAAACAACAAATCATTCACCAAGGGATTGTGTTAGTGAGGAAATCACAGCTGAAGACAGTTTACCAGGCATTGATAAGATGCTACAACAAACAAAACCTTCAGGGATGTCCCCAGCTTTAGAATAAGCCAAAACCACCCAGCAGTATTACAATCAGCATCATCCCCACACCAACCAATTAAAGAGATACAGTGGTGCCTTGCAAGACGAAATTAATTTGTTCCGCGATTTTTTTCGTCTTGCGATTTTTTTCGTCTTGCGAAGCACGGTGTCAGGAAAGTTTTGGAAAAGCTTCAAAAATCACCAAAGTCTTAAAAAACCTTTAAAAAGGCTACCACACCGCGTTCTATGAGTTGCTCCTCGAAGTCAAGTCGCAACTGTATTAATGGTGTTAAGAAAAAGGAAACAAACTTGCAAGACGTTTCCGTCTTGCGAAGCAAGCCCATAGGGAAAACCGTCTTGCGAAGCAGCTCAAAAAACAAAAAACCCTTTCGTCTAGCGAGTTTTTTGTCTTGCGAGGCATTAGTCTTGCGAGGTACCACTGTATCCCTACATCACACCTAAATAAGATCACCCTAGAATTGCTAAAACCCACAGATTCAGAAGTAGTTCCAAAACTACCAACATAGGTTCAGTCTTCCCAACCTTTTAAGACCCCAAACCCTCCTTTAGGCTAAACATGCATTGGGGCGTTTATTTATTTTACCATCTGTAATGTGGCAATGCAGCAAGGGTCAGGCTGCAACCCTGCCAACCAGCTGAAGACCAAGGGATTAGACAACACTTTGCAATGCATGTCAACTTTAAAAGCGCAGGGGGCGGGGGTGAGGAGGCTCCTGCCAGCGTTGGACAAAAAGGGGTTTGCAGGCTAACATTTCCAGTTCCTAGCTTTCCAAAAATGATCACAAGCGCCAGGGAGAAATAGAGGGAGAGCGCTTGTAAGGCAGAGAAGAGGGTGTCCTCACCCAAGCCAGGAATCCCGGGGCCCTTTTCTTGGCCTGTGTGACGGTGTCATGTTTTGCTCTGGGAGGCTGGCTCCAGGGAGCGAGAGAGAGATTAGAGCAGGCCTCCCCCCCTCCCTCTCTCTCCGAGGGCCTGGCACACTAGTATCCAGCCTGCCGGCCTGCTCTCACACGCACTGGCTTTTCTCCCTCCTAGAGAGAGCTGCTGCCCGGAGAGGAGCCTTCTTCGCAGGGCTGGGTCACTTATTCTGCACAGGAAGATGCATTGGAATTCGCGCAGGCGCAGTCCCGCTCGGAATTAGCCCACCTTAAAAATAAATAAGTGGAAAAGGGACGGGAGACCGCGGGGGTGGGAGGGTCGCTCCAGAAACTCGTCGACACCCCCTTGCCCCCCCCGCACGGAATGCAGAGCTTTCTCCTGTCTCTGAAGCCCCCCAAAGCGAGGGGGAGAGAGAAAGGTGTGGGGGTCTAGGCTCCCACAGCGCCCCCTCCCAGGGACTGCCTAAAGGTTTCCCCCACCTCCCCATTCGCTTCCTCCTCCTGCTGCTGCAGCCCCCTCTCCTCAGCCGCTGCCCCCCCCTCGAAGAGGGAAACACCCGCCCCCCCCCGACAAACACGGGGCCTTTTTGCCGCGCGTCTCCCCTTTTTCCCCCTCACAGGGGGCAGCGTGGTTCGTGCGCCTCTCTCCCCCCCCACCGCACCCCGGCCTCCCCTCATTCCCTCACGACGACGGCGCCCTCCCGCCCGGCCTCCGTGAGGCAGCTCCAGGCCCGGAGGAAGGCGGAGGCTCCCCGCTCGGTCCGCTCACCTGCCCGCCGCGGCTGACAAGCCTCCCCCAGGCCGAGCGACGAGAGCCGGCCGCGAGCAGCAGCCCCTTCCCCCGCCCCGGCCGGGCTACGCTTCGCTCGGGGAGCGTCGTCGACGGCGGTGGCGGCAGCAGCAGGCGGTTGGAGGCGGCGGCAGTCCGGAAACGCCAACAGCAGGAGCGGCGGTGGCGGCGGCTCCTCAGCCGGGCGCCGAGGGGGAGGGGCTTGGGCGGGGAATGACAGGCTCGGGGGCGGGACCGAGAGGAGGAATGCGGGGGGAGGGGCCGAGCAGCGCTGCATTATTTATTAGCCCTAGTACGTAGCCTTGTTTATTAGTAGTATTAGTGCTGCATTATTCATTAGTAACAAGTATTTTTTATTTTATTTTAATTAGGTATTCATCTTCCGGAGGTGTGGCCATGCTTATCTCTTGAGGCAAAGAACAGCGAGTCTTGTGTCAAGTTAAAAGCGCGGTCCTAAGCATACATACTCAGGGGTAAGTCTTACTGCATTTCAGCGGGGCTTACTCCCGGGTTAATGGGGTAGGATGCCTAACACATTTATTCAGGCATAAGGATATTGTTATTATTACCTTCCAGAGGCGTGGCCGCGTTACGTTCTTGCAGCTGAAAACAACAAGTGGTGTGACATTTTAAAGCTGCCGGCCTAACTGTGTCTGCTCAGAAGGGTAAGTCCTATTGCATAGGGCTTACTCTCAGATAAGGCTGCACAACACATTTACTCAGGCATAAGGTTATTATTATTGCCAACCACCGTTTTATTGTGTTTACATTAGTAACCCTGTTCCACAGTAGTTATTCATTAAAAACATGTAATATAAACATTAAAACAGATTAAATGTGACAACTCCCACACCCAGACGATTATGATTTATTGATTCGGCTTGCATCCCACTTTTCCATTTGAGAGCTCAGAACATCTTTAGTGAATATTATCATTACTCATCTTCCAGAGGTGTAGCCATGATAAGCGATTGCAGCCCCAAACGGGTCTTGTGGCAACTAAAAAGTGTGGTCCTAACCATGCCTGCTCAGAAGTTAGCCTTATTGCATTCAATGGGACTTATCCAGTTAAGTGGTTAGGATGCCTATTGCATTTATTATGGCATAAGCTCTGCTTCATATATATATGATGTGGGTGTTGTTGACAGGAAGACTGGAAGTATTTGAAATGCTGAGAATCACGTTATTGACAGTGGCTATTCACACATGCAAAGCAACAGTTCCTCTTGGTAACAGACTTCTTTTTGGCATTGGTGTCAATGAACAGCTAGTACAATTAAAAAACAAAACATTGTGTTGATTCCGTTCACAAGTGGTGGCACTGAATCTGCAGCAGTTTCAAGGTGCAGTCTCTTTTTGTTCAAGGGTTTCTGCCTTAAGTTCAGTTGCTTTACACAGCATCCTGGGAGGCTGAAATATTTTTGCACTGGGGAAACAAGACCCAGGGAATTAACTGGTCCCACAGGTTCTTTGGGTAGCAGGGCTTCTGGAGCCAGCCCACCTTCCCGTCCCCTCCTGCATATGCCCTTTCCCTTCTAATTCAGGGTCCTTGGCTCATCACCTGTGTAATGTTTCTGGGTCAACGACAGATATAAAGAATTAGGAGTAGTTTTTATAAAACAAGCTTTATTCAGAGTAGTCTCCAAGACCCTCTGCTGGAACTGAAACTCAAGGCCTAAGGAACGGCCCAGGGTCCTGTGACTCCAGAGGTAAGTCCTCAGATTGCCAAGCCTTTAACCTTGAATAAGTTATAAAATGTGAACAAAAAATGAAATGATTTTTTTTTAAACCCATAAGATTATTACTATAGACATATATGTTGATTCTGCTGCATGAACTGCATAGAGACAGATGTATCTACTATGGAACTTAATTGAGCTTGACTAATGAATTACACTAAACATTTTACACTCTACATTTTAGCACATCTCTCTATAAGTCGTTCTGGAGATTTTATCTTTCTGGTAGAACACCTCAATGTTTGTTCCACAATAACCAGTAACTTGTTATTTGCTGGTTTCAGTTTTGGCCTTGACAGACCTTGATAATCCTTTCCAGATAAAATATTCACATGAGCGCCAGTGTTCAGTTTAAATGAAATGGATATCTCATTCACCTGCATAGAGAGGATCCAGTCGCTTTCACTAGTCTTTCTTGCTTTTGCTACATCAACATACTGTACAACTCATCTGAAATATCTTCAACAGTGTGCACCTGATTTTTCTTTCTTTCTCTGGCTTGGTAACACATTGCAAAATTATCCCCACAGTTAAAACAGCTTCCCCCCACCCCATGCTCAACGGTTTAGGACCATGTGGCATTCCACATTTTTTGCAGGCTTCTTTCTTTTGTATTATTATTATATTTTTATTTATACCCTGTCTTTTTCCCTGACAGAATTTTAGGTGGCTCACAGATATTCCTCTTCTCACAGTGAGAGAAGCTATTTCCACTTTTGAAACTAGCTTCCTTATACTCTGCTCCTTAATATGCAGAGTATGGACAATATTTCTGGCCTGTGCTTTTACAGTTCCTGAGGACCTGCAAATCTGAATACCGGTAGTTTCGTCCAGGGGCAGATCCATCTCATGCAACAGCTGCTCTCTGAGGACATTGCCTTTGATGCCACAGATTTATTTATGTTTGTTTATTACATTTATATGTCACCTTTATATTCAAAGCATATCAACCTGGTGTACATGGTTCTCCTCCTCCCCATTTCATCCTCACAACAACCCTGTGAGGTAGGTTAGGCTAAGATGATAACTGGCCCAAGGTCACCCAGTGAGCTTCATGGCTGAGTGGGGATTTAAACCCTAGTCTCCCAGGTCATAGTCCAGCACTCTAACCATTGCGTCAGTTCCCTTCATTGGTCATTTTGTACCTTACAGCCTTTGGCCAAAGCAATCACTGTTTTGGGAAATGTAAAGCTAGGCACTGTAACATCAGCATAGCTTCCTTACATTGTCATAACTTGGAGTTATTCTGGCATATGGGGCTCAGCAGCAATCATATCCTGCCAGTATAACTTGGGGATAGAATTGCCCCATACATAGGAGGCAACTCCTAGGGGCCGAGGTACCTTCCCCCCATAAAATATTTGAGGGCCCCCACAAAGTTAATGGGCATTGTCATTCAAATAGTGTGGGTGGGTGTGTTGCATCATGTGATTGATTATGCAGGGCTTACCTGTCCCCACCCCCATGTTTTAGCCAAGTTGGCACCCCTGGTTCCATATACAGTGGTACCTCGGGTTACTTAATTTGTTCCGGAGGTCCGTACTTAACCTGAAACTGTTCTTAACCTGAAGCACCACTTTAGCTAATGAGGCCTCCTGCTGCCGCTGCACCGCCAGAGCACGATTTCTGTTCTCATCCTGAAGCAAAGTTCTTAACCCGAGGTACTATTTCTGAGTTAGCAGAGTCTGCAACCTGAAGCGTATGTAACCTGAGGTACCACTGTATTAGTTAAACCATACTGGGTGCAAAACAGATTGCAGATTGCACCCAGGGCTGTTGGGACAAAAAGCAAATTGTGTCTGTTCCCCCATTTAAAAATAAAAGCCAGCGTTGTTTGGGAAAACAAGTCCCCTATGCAGCAAAGAGCAGAAGTAAAGAGATATGTGGTAGTCGTTATATTGGCAGAGATGAGGTATAAATTTAGCTGCTGCCCTAGTCAAGAGAAGCCAAATTGCCTAGTGAGTCTTAGTGTTTAACCCACCTAACCTGCAGAAGCTGGATCCCATCTTTATATAACAAAAAAATCATCTCCCACCTCACCCCCGTGGCACACACCTAACTCTGCATAGGATCAGAAAGCACACTGATTTCAATTAAAGACTTACGTATATGTTTCTGACTCCCATCTTCTCTGCACACTTACCTGGGATGAGCCTCATTAAGCTCAAGTAAACATGCCTAAGCTTGGGCTATTCTTTTTCACACTGAAATCCATTGAGCACTAGAAGTGCTCTGCTTTGGCCTTTAAAGTTGGAGAGAGGACTGGCCATGCCATTTCAGAAATAAAACATGCACATTCCTTCATTTCTTAACTTGTGTTCGTGTGGAATGGGGTGAGGCCCAGATTGTGAATTTGTGATGAGCCCAGCAAAATACTAATTGGGTCCTGCATAGGCCTGTAGCTGGGGCAGGGGGGTGACCCCCCAAATGTCCTTTTTTTCAAACAAATAATTAAATTTGTTACAGAAAGATTAAAAACAAACAGGAAATCCTTTGTTTTACTTCTCAAGGGCACAAATGCTAATTTTGGGGTGGGTTGGCAATGGAATCTGCCTAGTATGAAAACATCACATGAGAAGGGCCAGGAGGCAGAACTTAAAATGGAAGGAATTTTGACAAGCCAGGTCAGTTTGTTTTTAAGTATCTAAAATCACTGTTGAGGGACTTGGAAGGTAGGCAGAATTTCCCTGCCTGATAAATGAGTTGGCAAACAAACACCTGCTATATGACTATGATATCCATTCAAGAGCTATTATTCTTCAAGGAGGTGGGATTCTGGGAGTTTCTGCTTGCTGGTCTGAGGAACTATTGGCCATGGGGGTGTATTTTTTTATGTCTTGTCAGGTGGGGGTGCAAAGGATGTGAAGCTATATTTTCCCCTGGCTGGAGGAAATGCAGGTCCGCAATTCATCACCACCATTATTACCATTGTAACTTCAAAGCAAACATTCATCATAAGTTTGTTTGCTGGAAGTAAATCCAGAACAGCAACTCTTCTGTGCAAGGCAAGGTGGTGGCACCATCCTTCCCTGATGAAGAGAACATTGGATCTAACCCTTTGTCTACTATCAGTAGACTGCTGTTTTGGAAGGAGAATGTACCACTGAGAAGTCAGCAAGAAATTCAACTAACTTGCACCAACAGATTTAGGTAACTAAACCTGCACAGCCTCAAATTTCATCATACCCAGGGGTCTACAATGTTTGGCCATACATGGAAGTTCCAGTGTTCCTGTCTTAGATCTTAGAGGAGTGGCTGGAGTACTCAGTTAGTAGAGATGTTACTTCTTCATTAGAGAAAAAAATCCTGTTGCAAACTCTGACTCAGCATTTGTAAATGCAGGAGACTCTGAAGGGAAACAGGCAAATGTTTTCCAGGCACACATAGTAAATTGCCCATAAAAGTGCAATGGATAATTTTCAGGAGCAAGAAAAGCGTGGATCAACAGGAGAAACTATTCAGAGGAAAAAATGTGTAGCCAAGTGGTGGAAAATAACAGATACGATGTGAAATGTATTGCTGGAGTAACTCAGTTTGTAGTGGTCAATCAGTTGTCTTTCAGGGGCGATTCAGGGTGTGAACAATTAGGAGTAGATGCAAGTGGTTGGCTGAATTTTCTATGAGAAAATATTTTAAAATTCGCAACAAATTGTGAAAACGATTCCTGCAAGTGCTAAATATACTAGCCCTGAAATCCACAGCATGACCCAAACAGTTGTAGGTTTTTTTCTGGAGCAAACGGTTTAAAGTACTTGTGTTGTGTTGTTGGTTGATGAGACGAGGGACAAACAAGGCATTGAAGATACAGTATAGGGTTATTCCTGATTTTTTAACAACCTTTTTTGTGTTAATTGTTGGCAAGATAACTAAGAATTGTTGAAGTTGCTTAGTGAAAATGTTTGAATGTGCCTAAGTTGCAGGACAACTCCAAAAATAAGGGTTAATTAAAAACATTTCACAGTTTTGTCTTTAAAAGGACCTGTCAGATTTTGATGTGTTTTTAATCTTTGTTGGAAGCCGCCCAGAGTGGCTGGGGAAACCCAGCCAGATGGGCAGGGTACAAATAATAAATTATTATTATTATTATTATTATTATTATTATTATTATTATTATTAACTGTCCCCTTAAACAGCTCCATTACTTTTTGTCCATCCCTTCCCCCGCCCCCGAACTTTTAAACTGGCTTCAAGCCCGGTCCTGCACCAGGATGTTCCCAACAGACTGTGCCAAAAATGTACTTGGATATTCTGTTACGTTATATTGAAAAAGGAAAAACAGTCGTATGTTAGTAACTAGATGATAAGATGCAATGTTGAGATAATACTTACAAAGGGGTGTGAAGCAGTTGTACATATTATACTTCTGTGGACTCATCCTTCCAACACAGTGCTTCCCAAACTTCCAGTAGCTAAGAGCAGGATCCATTATGGAGATGTGGCAGAATCACCTACCACCAGAAGATAGGTGCAAGCCCAGAGCAGCATAATCACGCAGGGAGGCAGCAGACAGCTTCCTCTGGGGGTGGATGCTTTGGGAGTGATTTATTTCTTGCAGTTTGGGAGTTCTCAATCTCATGAATGGATGCCTAACTTGCTATCACTGAACAATGCTGTTTGACAATGCTGCTGCACAAGCCAGCTGGTCTGTTAAAAGTAAATGTCAGAAATAATCTTTTCCAGCCATCAGGGCAGGAAGTGTGCCATTGTTCTGCTATCCTGGCCAGCTAAAGCCCTTTTTCTTTTTCAGAGAAGTGGTTTAAAGTTATTTGTTGCTAGATGAAACTGCTGACCCACACTTGTATCCCTAGGGGTATGAATAACAAACTATTCATCAAGTATTGTCCTGGTCAGCTTTACTGTAGGAAAATGTTTGAGGAGGCAGTGATGGCTGGCAGCCTAGAAACCCACATCACTCTCCAAACAGGGCTGCTAGCCATGGCCATAGGCAGGCCCCTCTCCATATATCTCTGGAATGGCAAGTAGGGGCTGGATTTGGCCCTGGGTGCTAGTTACTCCTCTATTGATATATGGCCTGAGGTTCCACCGAAAAATGAGTGCCTCTTAATTCCTTTCCACCAAACAACAGAATAAACACCTGGTTGATAGAACTGGAAGGCATCCAACAGGACGTTTAGTTGATCCCATGCTCCGAGGGAAAACATCCTCTACTTAAAAGCATCCCTCGTAAATATTTGTCCAACCATACTGAAAACCTCCCAGTTTATTCCAGGGCTGAACCACTCCTAAAAGCAGGAAGCTTTAAGTGACATTTCATTTAAATCTAACCTCCTTCCACTGATTTTCTTGCCTTATCCACTGGAGTTGACCTTTTTCCCTTTTTCACCTGTTATTTGCAAACTGTCAACATACATCCAACCTTCATATTCTTTCTCTTGTCTGAACACGCCCAGTTTCTCCATCCCTTCTCGATGTAGTTTGCTGTTTTATCACCAAGGAGGTCTCCAGGACTTGACCCCTACAGCATACGTCCCCCAGCCATCTTCTCCAGTCTCATCCCCTCTCACCTTTAGAGATGGACTGACACAAAGAAATGGAGCATGCACATGATCTAAGATAGGAGGGACACACATGCACAGAGGGACACACATGCACAGAGGGACACACATGCACATGCACA